CACGCACACACACGCACATGCACACAAAAACACACCGCACACACACACCATGCACGCACACACCACACACACACCCACACACCCACACATTTGAAGAATCCTGAGGAAAAACTTCTCTCTTAATTTTTCCTCCACTGGGAACAAACAAAAGCCTCTTTGTTGCTAATAGTACGAGAGTCAATCAAGTAGGCTTTCCCAGGCTCGTCAGAGTCAACAACACAGAGAAAACCCAAAGGAACAAACAACACAATTTCCTGCTTGTTTCAGCATAAAATATATTCAAGATGGGCGAACAGAACTACTTAACAGACTGTCTTTCTAAGTCCCCCTTGGTCCCTGTTCATAAATCATAAACAGTAAATCTTCCCTAAGACAAAGTGAGAGATTCCCATTTCTAACCCATTGTTTCTAAAGATTTTGAAAGTTACCCTTGAAAGAAAACTTTGTAAGTCAATTTCAGAACAAAATCCATGTATTCCTCTACACACTCAATTCTCAAACAGACCTAACAGCGTTCACTTACACATGATCAAAATACTTACCATCCAAAGCAAAAAAATGCAAGATAAAGGCCCAAAAGGGTTGCAACTACGTGTCTGATAAAAGAGCTAGTTTTGCTTGAATGGAGATAAGTTCGAAACCAAACGGCTGCTAACAAGGCAAAGAGTTGGCACACTACAAAGTTGACCTGTAAAGAAAAATTAAAATCTTGTGTTAGCAACAAACTAAAATCCTTCAATGTTACACTTAACAAAAACACCACAGTCAATATAAAAACTAAGTTCTTTTCGTTTATAAAAATCAAAACCCAATAACTGGAGCATTTCCCAGGGAGGAGCTTCAAGTTTAAGTGATGGGTCAATATGCATTTCCTGCATTGCACCTGACAGGAGACAGGTGTGTGCAGGACACCTGGAAGGAAAGAGACAACAGTGGGGACACAGGGATGGTAAGCACAGGACACTCTGTGGGTTTAGGGACAGTGCAACCCATTTAGACAACGCAGGCCTTAACAAATGGTGGGAAAGTAAAGCTCCAAGTTTCCCAGAATGCTCAGGGCAGGGTCAATCTCCCCTGAGTCCCCAGAGGCAAGAAGGCTTAAGGCTACAGATTCAGTGGCATGGGGACACAGGACTATCTCTGGAGGGGAACAGAATGCCGCTGCTGTGGTGTAAACATCACTGCTGTGGCTTAGCTAGAAAGATAGCGGGTAAGACACAGAACCCTGGATGTGTGTTGGGGGAGAGCACACACCTTTCCCAAGTCTAGCAGGGCTACCCTTGAATTCCTCACAATGTTCAGAGCCACCTTCCTCATAGGCGGAGGCAAGCCTGAGGCGCTCGCTCCCTTCCCACAGGTCTGAGGAAAGGATGTCTTGTGGAATGCGAAGGCTTAAGGAAAGAAGTTGCGTTTCCCTCGGGAGACTCTTCTCCTGAAGTGTGCAGGGAAATACTTCTAAAGGCCTGTATCTAAAACACCTCCTTTCTGCAGGACAGACAAGCAGGCTCTTGCTGCCAGCACTGCTGGTGTGCTGAGACCACTGCTCTCTGGAGCACATTCAGTGCCAAACCAACGTCTCTCTGGCGGGTTCTAGCACTTGCTCCTCCTAAAGTTTTAACTGTGTCTTTGAGAAATAGCCAAAAGTAACAACAACTGAAAAATGATTACTTTTGACACTAATTACTAACATTTATCTACGTGATTCTTAGACTTCTAAAAACCTCCAAGTCCTTCCATCCTTTCTCTCAAACGTATCTTAATTAAACAAACAAAAAATTATAGAGCATTTGCAATAGAAAAAAACACAAGTGAGCCAGAAACAAAGTCTCGACCCTATCCCAGGATAACTAGACTCTGACAGAAAAAGCATGCACACACAGGAACACTGGCAGACGTTAGAGAACCTTTTAGAAGCTGTACAGAAACTGTTTCGAGAACAAGCTTGAAGGCGAATATCAAAACGAGGTGACAAGGGGACTGGCAGGCCGGGACAGTAGTTCCCGGTGCCAGCAGAGTGCCACCACCCCTGAGGAGCTTGCTTTCTCCCACTGCTCACCCTCTGTCACATATTTATATAACATGAAGAAGTTATGACTGCAATAGAAGTAGTCTATAAAATTTTACAGACTTTTAATAATCGCCTACTCTGAACGCCCTGGTCTTTCACATCAAGGTCATTGAGACCAGGCCTCACTCTACACAACCACAATTTCTGGCACACAAACTCTACTTTTTAAAAAGAAATGTCCAATACAGATTCCCGTAACCGGAGGAATGAGAGCCCTATGCTGGACAATAGCGGAAAGGTCATCCTGAGGAACAAGTAATGTTTAAGGGGCGGTGGGGGTGTGGGGAGATGAGGAAGCGAGCTCAGTAAGGGCACTCTGGATGTAGGCATCTAATAATGGTACAAAAAGACTGAAAAGGTTTTCATAAAGAAGGCATTGTGACCCCTCCCCCCTCCTCTGCCTTGGAAGGCATGGCACAAAGTAGAGACGGCATATAAGGCTGCTGTTACTGTCCCCAGGGCCAACAGAGAGTGCAGACTTGCTGGGACAGTTGAGGTGTGTGGGGCCAATCAGATGTCAGAATAGGCTAAGCCACGAGAACCTGGGAGAAGATAGGAGATGACAAGGTCAGTCAAGACCAGGAAACAGGAATGGGAAGTCTGGGAGAAATGAATCCTACAGCTTCTGCATGTGTGGCTTATATGGGCTTGTGTGCACACCCAGACGTGGCTCAGAAAGGTCTGCATCTGTAGTTCTCAGCCCTCCTAATGCTGCAATCCTTTAATGCAGTTCTTCATGCTGTAGTGACCCTCAACCATGACATTAGCTTTGTTGCCACTTCCTAACTATAATTTTGCTACTGTTATGAATCGTTAATATATGTGATTTCTAATGGTCTTTGGCAACACCCGTGAAAGGGTCGTTTGACCCTTAAAGGGATCACAACACACAGGTTAAGAAGCCTTGAGGCAAATGTGAGTCTGAGAGCTGTGGACATCTTGGAAAGGAGTTACAAGAGAGACAAGATGGAGTTGGGCAGGACCCTGCCTGAGCCCTAAAGCTAAAGGATCCCAGCAGCAGAAAAGCAAGCAGTCTCGGGAACAGTAAAAGAAGACCCAGAAAGCAGAAGCCAAGAGGCTGTAGGCACTGTCGCCGTAAGGGCAAGGCTAGGGCAGTAGTTCCCAGCCCTAGCAGATCTCCACTGCTCTCTGGAAAGTATCTTTCTCCCAATCACTCACCCTCTTCCCCAGCACCAAGTTCAAACTGGCTTTCTAGGTAAGTAAATACAGCTGTACTGGTGACCTTGGCAAGAGTAGCAGAAAAAGTCCCAGGAGCACATTTTATAGATCAGGAAATGGTCTCAGTATTTAGGTGAAGTCACTAAAGCCACGAAGTAAAACCCTTCACTTCCCACTACTTGTCAGGATAGCTATGTCTGGGATGTGGCCCTACAGGGAAGAGCAGAGTGAGGCATGGTAGACAGAGGTCAACTTTTCATACTTGCTGTCTTCTAAAAGGAAAGAGTTTAGAATAAAAGGACTTCATCTTTTCTTTTACTTTTTAAATATTTATCCTCCCCTCCACCGTGTGTGTGTGTGTGTGTGTGTGTGTGTGTGTGCCATAACATGCACTGGAAGTCAGAGGACAAGGTATGGGGGATCTGGCTTTCTTGATGGCTCTTAAATGTATCTTAAAACTATTAAAACCTAAAGTTAACACCATCTATCCTTCTCTTCCAAACAGAATTACCCGTCTTGGTCTATGTGCTATTTTGTTTTTTTAAGTATCCAACATCGGTTCTTTTGCCTTCTCTGCTTCTCTCTCTGGTCCCCTTCTTCCTCCTTCATCCAACATGACCCATTTTTTTTAGGGAGAGGGACGAGGGTAAGGAAGATGACTCCACAAGTAAAGGCATGTATCACCACACCTGGACACCTGGCTTTAAAACCCGGAACCCACACTGGAGGAGAAAGCTAATGCCTGCAAACTCTTCTCTGACGTCTGTGCATGCGTGTAAAAGCACATGTGTGTACATGCTTGTATGCATATATACCGATGTAAAACTATCCTTTTAACAATGCAGTCAGCTCACTACCAGTTTCAACCAGCCATATATATATATATATATATATATATATATCGAACACGTAGGCCCCCCTTGTTATTTCTCACCAGTCCAGCAAAGCAGCTGTTTACACGGCATTTACGTCACACTAGGTATTCCGGGTCACTAAGCGCGATTTAAATGAACGGAAGAATGTGCACTGGCTATGGTAAATGCGGTACATTTTACAGAGGGGCTGTGAATACCCACTGACAGGTATCTGGCAAGGTTCTAGACCCCATCTCTCGCAACACGAGGGATCACTGCATCCTGCTCAAGTGACCTGATATTGAAAATGATATGCCTTTGAGCAAACTGCTTTTAGTAATCTGGAAGTGGGGAATGGAAGGTAGACAGGGCAAAGGGGAGAAAGGAAAATGAAAACCCCAGTTACTTTGAGACTGACTCACTACACTCCTCATTTCACACAGAAGCAACCTTTAAAGCAGCTGCAGAAACACTGATAAAGAAGCCCCAGCTGAAGATACACCAAAGGATTTCTTCTGTTAGGTGTCCATTCTCCTCATCAGCAAGGGACATGGCACCTAACCCTCGGTACCTTGTGCCACTTCAAGGTGACGGCAACAACACTGACAAAAGGACATTCAAAGACAGTAATAAGACCCCAGAATAAATTTGTACAAGCAATTAGGAATTTTAGAAGGTTTTTCCCAAGGAGAAACCACAAATGTTTCTGACGAGAAACTACAGACTGATAGATTTTGTTTATTGCTTGGTTTTAAGTATGGGGGGGGCAAAAAATGAAAAGTGGGGGAAAATACTGCAAAACCAAGGAAAGGAAAGTCCCTTATTGGGAAAATTATGACCTCTACAAGAAAACTGGACAAATCGCATAGACAATTTATAGAAGTCATATCCAATAGAACTCTGAAATAGCCTTAATTCTAAGGGGCACAAGCTAACCCATTAGTGAGGCGCTGTGTTCCAACTCTTAGTGGAGAGAGACTGACTGCTACCTGAAGCAGTATGATACTTCAGGGGCAGAACAGTCTTTTTGTTTGCAATATCCCAGAGATGAGGAGGTGCAAAAGCTTCAATGCCAGCCCATGATCAGACATGGAGCGATAAAGACTAGACATTCCATCTTAGGAATGGCTTATTACTGCAGCAAACCTTAGCTTATTCTGACTAGATGTGAAAGTTAACACCATAGACATCCTAGATAAGAAGGTAAGAGAATAGCGCATATCTAATCCAAATAATAACTTAACAATGCCAACTTATAGATAAAACAGATTTCCTACATAAATACTTGAAGCTTCAATGGAACAAAAATTCCAACACTGTAATTAACAATGCAGAAAAAAGAATATTAAAATACACTCCTGCTGACCACTTGGACAGAGAGACTGGAGGAGCATCTCAAGGTCGGGGCAGACTGGGCTTCGTAGTGAGACTGTCTCAAAAAAGAATTAAAATATAAATACAAAAAACTCTTAAAGGATAGTTGTGGGGGGAGTCATTTGAAAGAAGAACCTAGCACACAAGCCATGAAAATAAATCACAAATTAGATATTATTAAATGTTCTTAATGAGAAGCGCAAGTTACAGAGCAGAAGGCCAGTTGGTCTGTGCACATGCATGCGTTCACTAAATGCATATCTCTACTCGTTACATGTCTGCTGTGTACTACATGCTAGACATTACTGCCGTCACCAGAGAGTCTATGCCTATCAGCCATACTTTGCTAATGGTAGGTAGCTCAACCATCACCAGGTGGGCACCAGAGCCCATGCTACTAACCATAGGCTGTTCTGTTTCCATATGCTCCAGTCTAGAAAAACTAGACATTGAGACATTAGCTGGAAGAGGTCATGGAGAAAGACTTGAAATGCCCCAATATGTACACAATTCCGCACCCAATAAAGCCTCTTGTGCAAAATACTCCTTCCCAACCCTGTCCCCTGCATTCCTCACCACTCTAAAGACTGCTGTAGTACTCCCCTGTATATGGTCACACGTTTCATGCATTTTTCTATCTTATATTGCTTTGAATGTCCAACTTTCTAAACAGTAAGAACAAGATGGAGCCCCTGCAGCGACTCTCAACCCTTCATTTCTGGCGTCCGTCTAGGCGGTACACACCCTGCACCTTGCACACTGCAATACTTGTTGTACGGTTTTCCGCCATGTGACTTCGTGGATGTAGACTCATGGGAGAGCATCTTCCCCTGAAGCACATGCGGCTAAATTGCTCTCCTAAGCAGCTTAGGCCTGCTCAGGTGCCCACTCAGCAAGCGTGTGCCCTTGTGCCACATGCCTGGCGACATTTGGTTCTGGCAGACTTTGCATTTTCACCAATTTGTGAACAGAAGATTTTATTATCTCACCGCTTTTTAAAGCTGTCTTTCTTCCCATAGATCTGCTGAACATTAAGTTTCCCCTTGACACCCTCTTTCTCTAATGGGTTTAATTTTCCCAGTGGCTTTTTTTTTTCTTTATTCGCACCCACTGTTTTGCAGAGAGCATCTGTCAGTCTGTGGCTGCCTTTTTATCTGTACCTGGGTTCTCCTGTAATAGTGTGTTTCCTCCACGGCACACATGGTCTTTAGCTTTTGACACCACACACATGACTGCAGTACCTGAATACGTGATGTGCGTCTAGGCATGTCTTGAGTAGTTTAAAAAACAAAAAACAAAAAATAGAAAATAGCTGATGAAGCAGAAAATAAGTTGCTGAGTGAGAGAAACCAGAAATCTGAGTGCTGTACTATGGGCATTAAGGGCATTAATAAACTCATCAGTTTCCTACTTTAGCCATCGTAGCGCCTCCCCAGAGCCAGCAGCCCGGGTCTAAGTAGAACACCTTACTGCATTCACAACTCCAAGTTTCCCTCGATGCTCGGGTCATCAGGGGCATCACATGGCAGATGGAGGATACGCTTCTACCTCAGGGTTCCCAAACTGAAACTTTCCCACATTCTCACCGACTCGGGGTGCACAGGCTTCAGAGCTGTGATGGCGCACACAGTCACATCCTGGGTGAGCAACAGGCGGCATTTGCTCTTCTCAAGCTTTAAACTTCATTACTGGAACAGGTGTAGGGGCTCCCAGGGGTTCAAAATTCATAGCAATTTTCTAGCGTGCTTTCATCCTTCACATGTTTTCATGTGACAGCCGGGAGCCATATGTGACCACGACTGCGCATCTGAACTGAGGTGGGACTTAAGTGCAAATACGCACCAGACCTCAAAGGCTTAGAATGAGTAATGTCTTCAATGCAAAATATCTAATTAATAATTTTATAACCAGGAATAGTGTCATATACTTATAGTTAGTTCTAGTGCCTGGGAGATCTGGGCAGGGGAATGGCTTGAACTCTCAGGAGTTCAACCCTAGCTTGGATAACATAATGAGATCCTATTTCAAAAAGTATATAGAACACATTGAAATAATGTTTCAAGCATGTTTGCTAAAGAGAAGATCACAAACATAGTTGACTTCAATGGGATGCCCTGTTCTAACGCTACTTTGTAATAACATGAAGGAGTTTTGCATAATACACATTCTTTGTAAGACTCTGCACTGATTAGCAGGAGAATGAAAAGAAGCCAGGCAGACAGCCAAGCGCTAAAGATCAAGGGTGCTCCCCAGCTCCAAAGACAGGATGTCTTCAACTTTGGGGACACTGTCCTCAGCTCCATCTGGTACAGTTAGTGCAGAATCATCAGTTGGAAAGTCACAAGGAGACGCTTGGATATTCCTGTGTGTGAAATGGGACTGAACTTTTTTATATAACTTCTCCAGGTAAAATTCATGTGCAGTTCACTATAAAACAAATATTCTTCCCTGCCAACACAGTCTGCTTCGACTCAACTTCAAATTCAAGCAGAAATGAGAGAGCCCAGATACATAGAATCCTGTCTTAAATCTTTATGAGTCGATATTAGTTAAGCCCTACATAAGGCAATATTACCCACCCACAACGTAAGCCAGACTTTAAAGTCTGGCAATAGCAAGTGTAGACTTCAATGTCTGAGTAAGGATTTCTCACAGATGGCTAATACCAACTTGAGAAAACTGCTTGGCATTTTCTTACAGAATCAAAGACAGTCTCCCTACAGTTAGCCACCCACTAGTTATGGGCAGAACAGCGGCAATTAATGAGACAGAAACAATGCCCAAGCATACTGTGATAACGTTCATCCAAGGAGAAACTAAACAGGATAATGGAAGTAACGGCATAAATACCAGAACACGCACTGAACTCAGCATACACTGCTGTGCAAGATCAGACACACAGCTCTCGAGCTCATTCAGAATACATACATACACAAACATAACCACAGTTCATTAACGGTCCCAAAAAGCAAGTAATAATCCACACTGGCTGAGGCTATCCATGTAAGTGATCAAACTGTAACAGATATGAAGGTCACTTCCTATCACTACTAAAGTCACTGAAGTGCTTATTTATGGCAGGAGGGAGCAGGTTACAAGGAGAGATATATTGGGCCCTGGTCATTTTTTTTTAACTTTTATGTATGAAGGTTACACTGGTACTATTGGAAATAGACATAAAAAGTACATAACAGTGGCAACAAGACAGAGGGTCGCGTAACAGCCCAAGGTGGCTCCGCCTTGCTGTGACTGAAGGAGCCCAGCTTCTGCTGCTCTGTGGCTCCACCATCCAGAACCTCAATTCTGTAGCATCCAGGTATCGGGAGGGGACCATCAAAGCATGGGAGATGGTCACCTGTTTCTACAGAGCTGTGGACTGAAGATGTGTCACAGATCCCTGCGGCTGAGATTAACAGACCAAGCTAATGACAATCCACCGAGGCAAGCTGGGAAGTGTGTTCAAGCTACAGTCTAAGTCAAGAAGAGCCATACTTGGTAAACAGCTGGTCTGCCTCTACCGTTCATGTCGTTTACACTTTACTGTATGGGAACTGTATTTGTGACAGAAAGAAAGAAAGAAAGAAGGAAAGAAGGAAAGAAGGAAAGGAGAGGAGAGGAGAGGAGAGGAGAGGAGAGGAGAGGAGAGGAAAGGAAAGGAAAGGAAAGGAAAGGAAAGGAAAGGAAAGGAAAG